TACCATGTGTTTATAGCTTCTAGCTTCTTTATCCCTGCAGTCAATGGCGATACGTCCTCCAGAAATTCCACAAGTAGAAACAAAACAACAGCAAATCCATGGTGAACAGAGCGAAATGTATGGTGGACAGAAGAGAGGACCGCCTGCAGGGACTAGAATCCTGCCTATAGGACCACTCCCAGGGAACCCTGCCTTGCTTGTCTGAGTCAGCTGAGGCTGCCCTGGGTGCTTAAACAATAGACACTTATTTGTCACAGTTCTGGAGACTGGAAGTCTGAGATCAGCTGATAACACTCCTGCCCTTTGGCATGGCGGCGGCTGCAGAGCCACCTGGTGGGTCTTCAGGTCTAGTGAGAGCTCTCTACTGGCTTGCAGATGCCACCTTCTCAGGCATCTTTTCTATGAGGGCATTCATCCTATCATGAGGTCCTCCTTGTCACAACCTCATCTTGCCGTCAGGCCCCACCTCCAAGTACCATCACACTGGGGATTAGGGCATCGTTATATGAATGAGGGGTGGGGCACAGAGTGTGGACATCAGCATTCAGTCCATGCAGTTCTTTCTGTCTTTTGATATTTGGGATTCTATCTATGGATGCATGGCCATTTGAGTAAATGCTATCATCTTCTGCCCGGCTGGCGTGGCTCAGTGGTTGAGCGTTGACCCATGCAGCAAGGAGGTCGCCAGTTCAATTCTGGGTCAGGACACATTCCCAGGTTGTTGGCCTGATCCCCAGTGGGGGGTATGAGGAGGTGGCCAATTGATGTTCTCTCTCATCAATGTTTCACTCACTCTCTCTCTCTCTCCCTTCCTCTCTAAAATCAATAAATATTTTTGGTTTTTTCTTTATTGATTTTAGAGAGAGAGAGATGGAAACATTGGTGAGAGAGAACATCAATCGGTCGCCTCCTGCATGCCCCCCACTGGGGATTAAGCACACAACCTGGGCATGTGTCCTGACTGGGAATCGAACCAGCCACACCAACTGGGCTAAAGAAAAAAATATTAAAATAATAATGAAACGGCCCTGGCCAGTTTGGCTCAGGAATTGAGCATTGGCCTGAGGACCAGAGAGTCCCGGGTTTGGTTCCCGCTAGGGGCACGTACCACCAAAAACAATAAATAAATAATGAAAGGTATCATCTTCCTATAGCCTTAAAGTGTTTGAAGGGAACATTAATTTTTTTAGTGCCTTAGTTTATCATCACTTCCCCCAAAAATAGGAATGATGGAAGGGAAGTAGTAATTCTGAAATGTAGGCCTTGAAAGGAGAAAGAATGCCACCTGCCTCACTTCCACCAGGGCCACAACTCCACACTGCTGGTGACCTGTGCATCTTCACAGCTGTGGCAGAACAGGAATGAAGGAAGTTGATTCAGGGAAGAGCAGGGCTTCCAAGTTTCCTAAAGGAAGTTCCAAAAATGACCACCAGGTGGCAGCAAGTGAACAGTTGTTCGTAAAACCCTGCAGACTCTTAAGGAAGCGATGACGAGTGGTAGGAACAGTATGACTCCCCCATCAACCTGTGTCTGTACAGAAGAGCATGATCCTTCATGGCTTGTAGCAGGTTCTGCTATGGGTCCCTCTGGGTGTATATATAGATATTAATTCCTGTACTTACTGCATATTTCAGACTCCCCTAAGCACTATGAAGGAGAGGCTGCTCATAGCAAGGGTCCTGGTCCAGGCTTCCTAGAGAGAATATTCCAGGCAAAGGGAACCCCAACGGCTCGGGCTTTCTGAGGAGCAGAGGTGGCTGGAATGGAGGGAGCGACGGACTGGTGTTTTGGGCTAAGACCAAGGACAGGCAGGAATGCCTGCTTTCCCTTGGGAGCACCTCCTCTGAGGAACTTTAGACAGAAGGGCAGAAGGAGGTCATGGCCCCTTTCTCTGGGGTCACTCGGTGAAAGGACATTCTTTTCCAGGTCATGTAAGGTGTGTTAGACCTGGCAAGGCCCCTTCCACAGCGGGAATGAAGAATGTTGATTGCAATCATGACCCAATGGCCTGTTTATTCCTGAAAGTTTCTTTCCCTGACTTCATTGCTAAGTGAGTGAACTCTTTCTTGTGAGTAAAACACATCCTCTCGGCTGGGTTCACCGGAGCTGACGTCAGGGCAAGAAGTAGTTCTTATGGTTCAGGAGGTGGACAGACCCGTCTGCTTCAGAAAGAGGCCTGTGCCAAGAATTCCCTTTTCTGGCGGAGAACAGGGATGTGGGGAGACGCGCGGAGGCCCCAAACTCAGGCGTTGGTGTGTGTAGTCCAGTGGGCACAGAATCAGAAAGGGGGAAAGACCCATGAAAGGAGACGGAACAGATCAAAGATGAACTCCGCCTTCTTTATAAATCGAAGGAATCCTAGCTCTTTAATGGTCTATGATACTGCCTTCCGCAGACAGAGCGGCAGGACGGCTGCTCGCCAGTGTCGGGGTTCCTACCCCCTGCGGAGGCAGGTTGACTGATAAAGGGGCAAGATTGGTCCCTACCAATCAATAGGAAAGGGACCTAATCTCATTTGTTTAATACAGAATCTCCGAGGAAAATCCTTTAAAGAAAGCCAAAGAAGGGGCCTGGACACCGTGCAGGGTGCTAGCACTAGGAAGGCACTGGTGCCACCAGAGGGAGCCACTGCCCGGCGTGGTGGGAGCCGAGCCTCTGGCCGCCAGGTCCACGTGGGAGCCGTTGCCTTTCACATGGCCCTGGAGCTGGATGGGAAGAGCCCTGACAGGGCCTGGGATTCTCTCCTCAAAAGCGCTCTTTGTTGACTTTGGACATTGTCTTCTCAGGAGAATAGATCAGAACATGTGGCCCTGGCAGGTTTGGCTTATCAGTTGGAGTGTCGGCCTGCGGTCCAGTGAGACCCGGGTTCGGTTCCCGCTAAGGGCACGTACCTCGGTTGCAGTTTGTCCCCGGCCCTGGTTGGGTCGTGCGAGAGGCGGCCACTGGATGTGTCCCTTTCACATGGATGTTTCTCTCTCTCTCCCTCCCACTCTATCTGAACAAAAAATGGAAAAATGTCCTCGGATGTGGATTAATATTTTTAAAAAAAGAACGTGTGTGGTTGCTGTGGCCCGTGGTGTACTTTCCTGGACAAGGTCACCGGGTTACTTTTGAGAAATTCCCTTTTGAATGTTCAGCAGAAACAGTCTTCAGTCCTCTGCTGCCTCCAAACAACTCCCGAGTGCTCTCAGATGCCTTTGCAGGTACAGGGCCGCGGAGAGGGGAGGAAGCTGGTCCCAACTACAGGCTGGCAGGCGGGAAGCAGCCGGACATGTCCGGAATCAGGGGGAGGGGAGGAGAAGAGAGGGCAGGGGAGGGGAGGGGAGGGGAGGGGAGGGGAGGGGAGCCAGACCTGCTCTCAGCGCCCCATGGAGTGTCTGCTTCTCATCATGGCCTTGCCTCTGGCGCTGGCACTAGTCCCTGTCCCCTAGACCCGGAGCCTTGTAAGGGTAGGAACAGTGCCCTCTCCTCATGGAGCAGTGGTAAGGGCAACAACAATCCCAGCCTTTACGAGTGTTCCATATGTGTCAGGCTCTGTCTTAGGAACTTTCTTCACAACTCATCTAATCCTCTCCCCCTCCTGTGAGGTAGGTTCCGTCATTGTTCTCCAGGGACTGATGAGAAAACCAAGACGGGCCCAAGACTGCACGGCCGGCGGGCAGCACTGACCATGGACTGTTGGATGAACCTGAGAAGCCCCTGTGGTTTACTTCTAAGAATCTTTTTCAGATATAATAATTTGTGAGTTGAATAAAGATCTTAAAAGGTAATGCAGTGAGAGTCTGCTAATAGTATTTTAACAAAAACCTAAAAACCCAGCCGCGCGTCCTGATGTCACCCACTTCGGCGGCTGAAGGGACTGATGTGCCTTTTACGCGCTGTCGCTGTTGCAGGCAGCTGTGCACACCTGACTCGGCGCCTCCAGCTCCGATGGTTCCTCTCCTGCTTCCCGAGGGGCAGGCGCGCTCTGCTGGGTCCTGGGCAGGGGCCGCGCTGTGTTTCCCTACTGGGTGAGCCCGTCCTCTCCTGCATTACTCAGGCTGAAACTGACCGCCACCTGTCTGTCCTGCCAGAGCTCTGGGAAGTGAAGTCACACAGAAAGTGTGAGCCACGATCGGTTGTTTAGCGGCTGACCGAGAAGTCTCAGCTGTTCATAAGCGAGCAAATAAACTGGCATGAATGATGTTCACTTTAACATAATGCAGCCGTTGTGTCGGTGATGGGATGGGACCGAAATGTTGGAACCTTTTATACCTCAAAGGTATAAGATAACCTTCCTGAGTGCTGGACAAAACGTGATTATAATTACTCTGGTGAAGAGACGTGATGATATATTTCTGGTGAAGGCATGTCAGCTCAGTAAGCCCCCAGGTCGCAAAGGCTAACAACTGGGTGCTAAAGTGTAAGAAAATCTGCACTGCACACAAAACCACCAAGTTAAATATTTTGGAGGCAAAAAGTCATGATAAGCAGGTTCCTGAGATTGTTCTTATAGTCCATGTGCAATCTTGGTATTATTTGCACTAAACTTTATCTCTACTTTTTAAAGGAAAGCAGAGTGAATGTTTGTTCGCGTATTTCCCTTTAGACCAATAACATTTTTAAAAATTGAGAACTCAAAAAAAAAAAAAATCCTAGTGATAAAGATATTTTATCTCTGCTTTACTGGAATTTGAACAGGAAACAGAAGGTAGGAAGAGCCCCTCGGTAAGTGAAGGGGAGACTCTGTGCCCAGGTTTGCTTTCTGTTGGCCAGACTTTGATGAGCCACAGAGAAGGTGAGCAGGTCGCACCAGGAGGGCCACACTTGCGCTGAATTCACCGAGAACACACCAGCAGTCACCAGAGCTTTCAGAATACAAGTCTGTGGCTGGTTGCATGTGATGCATAATGCCCTCAAAGCCCAAACCATTTAACTTGGTAATAGTTATGTTTTGTTTTTTGACTAGAACACAGCCAAGGTAACGAGGTACACAAAATAATAAGCATGCAGCCCTTTATTTAGTTTTGCAAAGTCTCTGCCTTATAGTTCTGTATATTACATGACTGTGTTATACAAATACAGTTATTTACAAAAACACTCTAGCTGTGCAAACTTGTTGCTTTTTAAAAATGTATTGATAGTCCCATTTCTGCCCATCCCAATATATATTTTTAAAGCATGCATAAAAATTAACTTTGGTGTGGGAAAACTACTCTATGTGCTTTCACATACAGTATTTTATGTCTATTTATATATTTACAAAAATGTATCAGTTTACAGAACAGTACAGAAGTGTACAATTTAAAATCCACAATGTTAATAGTGTAGGTTGCCAGGTCTCAGAAAACAAAGGAAGGGATACTGCAAGGAATACAACTAGAGAATCCCAATATGTTAAAAAAAGAAAAAGAAGAAGTGCAAAGAAAAATTGCTGGCTTAGGCTGGCAAATTGTTATGCATAATGTTCATGGCAGTGCAATTGGTTTGATAAATTGCTTTCTACATATGCCCCTGGGTTGGCCTGTGCAGAGTTCAATGGCTTACTGTCTAGACACTACTTTCAAATGTACAATGCTATAGTATCAAAATGTTTTGGCAAAAAAGATCTTGAAAGGAACCATGAGATTTTGACAAAAATAGAAATCTGTAATAAAGCTAAATAACACCAAAATAAAAGGAAATATTATAGTATCTGTTTTACAATTTGTATAGTCACACGCGTATTTCTCTGTTCACTTCTAGTCTCCATAATGAAAAATATTTTTATACAAAACATACTAAAATTCTGGAATCATACATGTTTTACATGCTGAATACATTTTTTTCCTGTCTCACACATACCCTTCTCTCTCGCCATACTCTCTTTCTGGAACACATGCTTACTTCATTTAACAGGTGTTGAATATAGACAGTTAACACTATGTAATTACAATAGCAACAAATAAAAAAAAAAAACCTAAAACAAAACAAAACAAAAAAACCAAACAAGCTTTACTGAAGTCTATTAATCCAGTATTTAGCACATAGCATTAAGCCTCAAACAGTACAGCAATATGTTACATTCTCTCGTGAAAACAGTTGTTAAAGACTGTTAAAATTTTTAAATGCAACTCCAACTTGTGCCTAATGGGGTTAGGCCTTTAAGAGGTTTCCTTTGCTGTGGATGGGGTGGCTTTGCTTGAACTTCCATTCTGTGCCTTGTAGCTGGTGAGGCTAGGAGTATGGATGGTCCTGATGCTCTTGGCACCTTGGTTCAGTGAAGTGGGGGAGGCGGGGGAGGGGGGGGAGGAGGAGCAGGAAGGAGGGGCTGCCCGGCCATTTGGAGTCTGCAGTGAGAATGAAAGATGGTGACCTTTACCTGTGTGAGCGGGGCTCTGAAACTTCAAGGAGCCATTAGAGACAGAGGGGATGAGGGAGGCAGAGGAAGCAGATCGTCCTGTTTGGGGGCTGAGAGGGTTAGAAGTAACCGATGGTTTAGGAGCAGCTGGACCGGGGAAGTTAGAGCTGTCACCGCTAGAAGAGGGCAGCGAACCGCTTTTCCCAGAGCTGGGAGAAAGGGCTGGGATCTTAGAAGCAGGTAAGGAGGGGAAAGTAGGCTTATAGTCCCCACCAGCTTTCTTAGCACTTCCATTAGCCTGCAAATAGAGATGGTGGGAGACAGTTTGTCAGAAAGCTGGTAACACGATCATTCCACAGGCTCTGGCAACACAGCCCTGCTTAGAATAATTACATAAAAGATAAACCAAACCAAACCAAACCAAACCAGTTCAAGGCCTGAGCTAAGTCTTGTTGTGCTGTACTGGACCTGGGAGAAACTCCAAAAGTACAGAGCAGAGGATGTGCAGAACAGAAAAAGGGGAAGACCGTTTCTGGGTGCTGGGCCAGCCATGCGTCCGGGTTACTGTCGGGGCGGGGGCGGGGCGGGCTGACGGAGTGTCATGTGCCTCTGGTGCGATGCAGTCAACATAGAGTTAGTACGGGTGACTTTCAGGACAGTTCCACAACAGGTTTGCCTTGCTCGGTTTCTCAAGGTGTTCTGATGAACCACTACCTTCCCCAGAGAAAAGCCAGCTGGTGTGGCAGCTTGTGTTAGTGGTTACATTTTGGAGTCACAAAGTAAGAGATGTTTTATTGCAAGCATGCAAAAGCGTGGTGAAAAGTTCAACAAAGGTTTTTAGACTTTCTTCGAGCCCCCAGATCCAGGAAGCCTACACAAGCCATAGCTTACAAAGAAAACACAGTATTTGGTATAAACTAAGTCAGTGACTTGCTTCTCAACTGTAAGAGCGTCCATCCAGAATTGGGTTTAAGGTAAAACTACCTGACGATATTGGCGGGGATCCTGCAGTTTGGTCTGCTTGCCGGGTTTGTCCAGGCTTCCGGGTCTGTTCTTGGAGCTCATGGGGACGGGCATCCTGCTCGTCTGTGGGGTCCCACTGGAGGCCTGTGGGGAAGACCAGGAGAGGGGAGAGAGGGGGAAGCCCGTGAGTGCATTATCATGGAGGCTGCCCCACTGTGTGCAGAGAAGCTCGAGGTGAGAAGCCACAGCCCTACATGCAGAACAGATCTAGGAGACGGACATCAGAAGACACCACTGGGGTTAATGCCAAGAATCAAACAGAATAAACTGCCCCACTACTGATCGAACGGATTTTAATGTGAGTGTCAGAGCAATCATTTCAACGGCAAGTGGATGGCCAGCATCCTTGCATTTACCCAACACCAGTCAGCAACAGAGGCAAAACCACAATCAATTAGCTGTTAGACACCAGTTGTTGTTTTGAAGGTGAGGGGGAAAATGTGAGAGAAAGGTATCAAGGCGAACAGACCAAAAACAAAAACAAAAAGGGCCACCTGAAAGGAAGCAGGTAAACCACAAGACATCTTTTGCTAATGGTGATTATGGCAGATTTAAGAAAGCAGCTGGGTCTTTTCCATTTCAATCAGACCAAGATACCTTACGTGAAGCTGAAGGTATCGAAGAGGGGGATTCTAGGGCAGTGGGAGCTTCTTCCAGAACTAGCAAGGATCGGGGAGCGGCCTCCCCGGCTATGTGGGATGAGCTTGCAACAGAATCTCTGTTGGAAGAACATGAGGTATCAACTAGGGCTTTTGGACTCATTTCACTGATTGTATTTTCAAGCTGTTTGATGGTCTGCTCCAGGCTGTCCAGTGTTCTGTAGGTGTTATTTCTAATTTCGTCAGTTCTTGAAAAGGAAGATGTGTTTTCTAGACTGGGCTGGTCTTGTCTCCTGAGCCTATTTTGGGCGGTGTCTTCAGCTTGAGAAGACCGAGCAATTTCGAATCGCTTGGCTTCTTTGTGCTGCTTCAAAGTGCCATCCTCTTCCTCCTCTTCGTACACCACCACCTGCAAAGTCTTCTTCCCTGTTTTGGTTCCTGTGCGAATTGCTTGAGTGAGAGCCGCGAGTTGCTTTTTAGGGAATTTGAACTTAAACTTTTTCTTGGGGCTTTCTAGTTGGTCATATGTCACGCCACACTTGCTTTCGGGACCTGGAGAATCTGCCTTGCTGCACGCGCTCAGCTCAGTCGAATCCATTTCCTGTCCTCCTGACACCCGGGCGTCTCCTGGGAGGACGTGCGGCTGCGACAGACTGCCAGCCTGCAGTCCTGATCTGGGGCCGCCCGGGGCAACCTTGTGAAACTTTGGGGAAGTGTAATTCTGGACCATGGCATCTCCATTTTCCTCCTCTTCCTCCTCCTCTATCTTTTCCTCTGTCATCATTTTCTCTAATTCCTCGTCACATTCCTCAAATATGGTTGAAAGTCTCTTATATGCAGACCGGATGTCCATGGGTTCATCGAAAATGATGATGACCGGTTTCTTGTCTAGGCACACAACTGGCTCTTCGTTCTCAGTCCCTTCTTGTTGGGAAGTCATCTCTTTCTTGGCATCAATATTCACCGTCTGTACATCTTCCCCCTTTTTGCTCACTATATCACGCACCTCCCCACTGGAGAGAACCTGGACCGCAGTTCTGGTAATCATGAAGGCGATGTTGTCTGTGGGGGCATGCTCTTCGGTGGGAGAACTTGGGGTTGATTCTCTGTCCTCATTAAGCTTCCCGTTATTAGTATGCAAAGCCCCCTTGGGTCTCAGCACCACTTGGCCAAACTCTCTCACGGGAACCTCTTGATCTTGAGTTTTGACATCACAAACACTCAATTCAGTTGATCCAGTGGGAGAGAGCAGGTGACACCCATCTGTACTTTCTTGATCTTGTTGACTCATCTCTTTTGTCTTTCCACGATTCATCTTCTGAGTTTCAGTGTCAGATAGAGGGTCCTGCAGTCCTGAGATTTTAGGCCCTTTGCCTATTTCATCTTCTAATGAACCAGTGCCGGGGAAAGTGGAAATGACCTTAGACACATTTTTCTGGGAATAGTTTCTACTGTCTCTAAGTAAACTCTTATTGGATAGGGCATGTTCCTTCAGTAAGATGTCAGTTTTATATTCTGATGTTCTTGATGCATCTGAAACACTATTCTCCATTCCTCCTTCCCACTTAGGATGGTCACTATATGGAAGAGCCCCCGCAGTAACCTGAGAGGGAGAGTGGAGGAGGGAAATGACAACATTAATCAGAAATGGATCGGCAAAGGAGGCCAATTAATCTGCACGGTATGGGTCGGAGCACAGATCTGGCGAACTCACCTTTCGGGACTCCATTTGGGGGCCATTTTCATATTCAACATCAGATTTCCGTACGTCTTCATGGAAAAATTCCAAATTCTGGCAGAATAGTGTAGGACATGTTACTCCACAAAACCACATCCCCCCACAGTGGACTACAACTAAATTGTTGCTTTAATTGCACTTGTAAAACATGCGGGCCAACCACATTTGTCACACACCAGTCCACAGCCTAGAGCTCTTTACCTTGGCCTGTTTGCTTCGCCAACTTCCAAAAATGCCCTGTGTTTGTACAAGATGAAAATCTCAATTAGCAAAATATTAAGAATTTCAAATTTGGTGGGGGAGCAATTAAGAGAATAAAGGGGCTGATGCTGTATGAATATGTCCTGGTTTCAACATCTGACGGCGAGCTTAGCAGAAGCTGAGACCAGGATGGTGTGCATCGTAGAAAGCACAACAGATGCATCAGCAGGCAGAAGATTCTAACTCTGACCCAGACCTGCTGCCACTTAGCTGTGTTATGGCAGACAAGTCACTGCACTTCTTTGAGCCTCAGTGTTCTTACTTACGAACTGAGGCACTAGACGAGGAGATTTTTCATGTCCTTTCTGGCTAGTTATTTCAGCCCTATCAGTTTTGTGTACGGAAAGTGTCCTACAAGGACATCTGCATTGGTGGGGTGTGGTACTTTAAGATTAAAAAAAAATTCTTTTTCAAATGACAGATTGAAATGCACTCTCAGTTTGAGCTTGCACTTGCTAAGGAAAGTGTCAAAATAGCCTTCAAACTAATCACACCAAGAAGATCAGTTCCAAATTCAGTGCGATAATGCTGCTAAAATATCATCTAAACATTTAGAAAACAGACAGTTGAGGTAGAATGGTGACTGGAACATCATGATTAAGATGTTATTCTCTATCTAATCTGATGCAGAGCAAAGATACACTTAAAAGTCTCTCATTGGGCTACAGAACACAGAGCCCAGCAGGGAGGAGCAGGAATAAAGGTGCTTCCCGGGAAGCATGCCTTTTCCCGCATGGCTGTGTGGGGGCCCTGTCATTCCCAGGGCACTGCTGTCCTTTCTCCTTGCTGTAGAAGCCCAAGAGGAAGAGGCAATTTTAGTAGGACGGGACACAATCCCAAGAAGGCGGCTTGGTTACAGCAATGACAACATTACAAACCAGGCCCCGCCAAAGTCAACCCAGAGCAGTCCTACCACGCTGGTTAAAAACGGAAAGAATGCCCGTACACATTTAAGGACTAACACACAAACAGCAGAGGCACTATTAACCGCACAGGAAGCCTGCACAAGACATGAGAGCATCGACCAGCCCACACCGCCAGTCTACTGTCCCGTTACCCCCGAAGCCCTCAAACAAGGGCAATGATGCAGCTGCTGCAGTCACACAATGTAATATCTTTTGTGGGATTTCAAGTGTAGATTACCAAACAACCCATACACCAAGTATAAGGTTTTAAGAAAAAAAATAAATAAGGTTTGGGTCTAAGGTTTCAATTCCATCTACAGAATCAGCATGTGAGGACCTGAGTGAGAATTTGCTCTTGAGTCAGGGAAGGAACTGGCATGTGAGCTAAAGAAGATGCCTGTGCCCCGGCCAGTGAGGCTCAATGGTTGAGTGTTGACCCATGCACCAAGAGGTCACCGGTTCGATTCCTGGTCAGGGCACATGCCCAGGTTGTGGGCCAAATCCCCAGTGGGGGGCATGCAGGAGGCAGCCATTCAATGTTCTCTCTCATCAATGTTTCTCTCTCTCTCTCCCCCTCCCTTCCTCTCTCTCTAAAATCAATAAAGAAAAAAAACAAACAAACTGTGGAGTTCTACCTGTAGACACTCTGATTTATAAAAAAAAAAAAAAAAAAAAAAGATGACACTTGCATAGCCGATGTTCTGCTGGCCCTGTGTGCTGGGGGATGGGTCTGCCATCTGTTCTGATTGGTCAGGGCCCATGTCATTCCCATCACTAAATATTTGGAATGCCACCAGGTGAGACATGCGCTTTAAGACAGGTGCAGAGCAGGAATGCTCCAATGGAAGGTCACCAAGATAAAGATGTCAAGTTTGGGTGTCACGTGATCTACCATTTTAATCACTGGGCTGGACAAAAGAGTGAATGCATCAAAGCCAGTGCATTAACGTTATTCAGAGTAACGTGGTCACAACTGTCATGTGATCTCACAATGATTTCTTAGTCAAGACTGTATGAAAGGTAATTAAGCTTCATTAATATCTATTTATGGCCCTGGGCTTTGGATTGTTCAGACAAATGGTGAAGCAGGCTCATTATGAACATGGGCAACGAACCAAAATTAGAGACACAATTGTAGAAAATGGCATAAAAGTCAAGTACTCGGTTTGTACTTCATGATGACAGAAGAAACATTTTAAGAGAACATTTGATGTATAGAAAGAAAGTCAGGAAGAGGTTAATAATGACAACAATTTGGGGACAAGTCTGATACTGGTGTTATGAAGTAGATCGACCTGCTGACTATAATTATCCAGAATAAGCACCTGTGAGTAAACCCAGTATTGGGCACTCAATCTAGACCTGTGTGTTATTATCTGATGGACCCTGGATTGAGAAAAAAGAGACTGGCGGGACATGGATTTCTAATTGCTGGGCCAAACAGCTCACATAACGTTGGAGCCAATAAGAAAAATTCTACAATGAGACAATGACTGTCTCTAGAGGGATCTGCAGGCAGTTCTCAGGACCCAGACATGACAGTCACAGTGGCCCGAATATTCCGTGTAGCTCAAATGGGCTGGGGCCTTCCATGATCTGGTTTTAATAAAGCCACATAAGAAAATTCCAGAGACTGAAAAAGTAATATATTCCCAATGCGATGTCATGGATTCAATCCAAATGAGTAGGTTTTCTTCATGAGAAAGATTTATCAACAATCATCTCACAGTCTCCCATGGTGTACCGAGAGATCCCTTGTCACCTGGCTAACGGCTTTGGGTGACTCCCTTTCCACAGGGCTCTGTGGCGGCTGAGCCAGGGAGGAGCAGGCCAGCTCCTCCCCACCGCCTCCTGACTGGGGGTGGCCAGCACCAGGGCTGTGTCTCTTGAAGGTTGTATTAGAACAACCTCTAATTTTGTGATCCCTTTGCTCCCTCGCTGCGCATCGTCACACGGACTGAGGTACCCACTTGGAGTGGCAGCTGGGCTAGCAGACAAGTTTGACTTCGTTTAAGGGAAGCTGGAACCTCTGAATTCTGACATGTAAGTTCTGGAGAAACAGGTGAAGATCTGAGTTGGTCAGGATAAGCTTTCTATTGTGAAATTTAGACAGTGGCTTCGTTCGCATCAGATGGCTCTACGTCCAAAACAATCGTAAAAGCTCTAGGTCTAACTTAACGCGCAACTTCAAACGCTCAGACTCACATCCTTCCCTCGAAGTGCTCGGGTCGCGACAGCGGAGTCTGTCCCAGAGCCTGGACGTCTGTCCCGAGGCCGTCCGCATGCCACAAAGTGCATTAGCACTAAAACCACACTGAGCCTACTCTCCTGGAAAGGACCCTCGGAGAGTTTGTTATACTTAAGAAAATTCTGTTTGGCCTCTTCCAACATGTGCGCAAATACGTGTGTGTGATCAGCTGTGGACGGGGCGGGTGTGCGCTCTGTCCTGCATTTGCTTTCTGAAATCTAAGGCTATCAGCTATTTTTAATACAGATGTTTTTGATCCAGAAGACATGTTAAAAATTTAAGAAAAAGCGCTACATAACTTGTTTGGCGTTTCTTTTTTCCTTTTTGGTAAGAGCCATTCTAGAAACCCTTGCAGGTGTGTGTTCTTTGCTTTGGGAGGATCGGTGCCTCAGTGCTGCACAGGAACCACCCATCTGCTCAGAAACCTCAGCCCGTTATCTCCGAACCGAACCCGGAGCTGTGTCTCGGTCAGTGTTGTTTGTAAGGGGAGAGGAAAGGCAGGCGAGGGACAGAAGGGCAGGCGCGGCGTTAGTGTTAGAGCGAGGAAAGAAGGGCTGTCCGGCGGGCGTGTGGCAAGGGGGCCGCTGCCACGTTACCTTCTTCTCCTTGGGCGGGACTGTGGCCCCCGGCCTAGTGTCTTTAACGTGACTGTCAGCCCGGGACTGCTCGGCATGACTGTTTGAATTTACATCCATAAAGGAGCACTTCTGGAATGCCTATGGAATTAAAATACCGAGGTTAACAGGAGCCCAAGTGCAGCGCGGAGGACGCGGAGGACGCGGAGACAGGCAGGGAGTCGGTCCAGTGGGCGGAGACCCCGGCCTGGTCCTGCGTGCAGGTCCCATCAGGGCCAGGAGGCAGTGCCTTGAAAGCCTGCTTCCCCTTTGGCCTCAGGACCCCAGAACTGAGGGGGTGGAGCCTGCGGCAAAGGGGTCCTGATTTCTGGGCTGCACCAAGATAAAAGGACACAGCCCTTGAACAAAAAACCCTTCCTTCCTGTCCAAGGTGAACTTAGTTTGCGCTTAGTAAGACCTCTTATTTTGACCCTTCAGAAATATGGAAAATGTAAATGAATTAAACAGAACAAGAAACCATCTTCTTTTTCTTTTTTCTTCATTGTTTTTTTTTTTAACCAGTTTTTTTATTTTTTTATTTTATTGAAGCTATAGAAAAAGGGCATAACATATTACAAACCTTTAACTTTTAAAATAAAGCGAATCCGTACTAGTTCACTCTTTGAAATAGTAACAGGTCCTCTGTGCTCTAAGGTGTTCTGAGGCTCATTTAGAATAAAGCGTGATTCTGAGGGGCCTCGGGCTGCCCGAGCCCTAGACTTGCCTCTGAAAACTGTCATAGTGACGGGAGCCGCACCAGCTCATGTGAGCACGGAGTCAGGAGGGCCGGTTCTCAGAGAGAAAGCACAGGCTGTGTTTATAGGGCAGAAGGGAGCGACAGTGGATGGTGAGGGCAGGAGAGACGGGAACCCAAGAACCCAAGATTCTTGAAATCAGAAGTTTTCAGCACATCACCTGGTTTTAAAAAAATACTATTACACAAGGCTCACCTAGAGAATAAATCAGAATCTTGGGGCCATAGGACTTAAAAATAAACTCCCTATGTAATTCTAATGTGCAGCCAGGATTATAAACCACTTATTTAAGTGAATCATCTTAAATAACTCTTTCATATTTCCTTAGTGTCAAATATTGTCATCTGGAAATCACTGCAGGCAGAAAGAATGACTCAAGCCCTTCCCAAGTGAGCTTTTCAGCATTGGTCTTAAAACAATGCGGCTGATGCCTGGGCCTCTCCCCAGCCCGCCTTGCCACTCTCTGCTACTCCCTTCCCGCTGCTCTGAACCCCTTTCTGCTGGTCCTGGAGATGCCCAGGCTCCGCTCACAAAGGCCACTCATCATCTCCATTGGGCAGTTAGACCCTGGGCTTTGCAGCCTCTGGCTTCTGACGATGCCTTTTGACATGGAGCAGGAAAGCCATTCCACAGTCGTACCAGGGGCTGCAGCTGCGCCCTGTCCTGCCTTGTGGTTGGGGCTGTCTAACTAGAGCTGCTGGCCAACTTTCTGATGCGACAGGTGGAGTCCCTGCTCTCACAGGATGGCTAATGGAATCTGGTTAAGTTAGGGTTAGACTACTTCATTCACCCCCATTACCTAACCACTAAAAATAAAACAAGAAGCCAGACACGTCGCTGTTGTAAAGCTTTCAGTGAAAGAAAGCATCAAAGATATTCAGACTTCAGTGGAGGGAAATAGTCTCAAGTGATGGGCTCTCAGTGGCTGGAACAAATAGGTTCCTTTTCTTAGGAGGCTTGTGCAGGATAATTCACAAGACAAAAGTCTCTACTTCTTTGCTTATCAGTAATTATTCACCTTGCACAGATTTAAGATGATCTAGTGCTCTGTCATCCATTTGAGCCAAACTGGGCCATGATCAATTCATATCCTAATTTGGGGACAGATGCACAATGAATGACCCCAGAATCTGCATACACATCTTAGGACGGGCTCTGATCCCAGCAAGTAGCCTTGACATGCCAGTGCCAACAGCCAGAGGGCGCTCATTGGACAACTGAGTGAAGGATGACTCCATGCTCTCAACTGTTTCAGGAGTCTCCAACTTTATAGATGTGTGATTCCTATGAATGAAATTCTCCAGCACTTCTAAAAACCTGATTGGTGGAGGGGCTGTAAATAATCTGATGGGTGGAGGGGCTGTCCCAGTCCAGTCTGTGAGTTTTAGTGAGGCTCAAAAGGCTCACGTTTGTGACCATCAGCCAGCCGCCCCGGGTTCCCTATGCAACCCAAGCAGCTCCTCTGGGCAGTGTTACCATGGAAAGCTCTCCCTACTGCAAATGGAGGATGCAGATCCTTGGGCCTGCACCAAGCCGGGCACACTGCTGGAGAGGGGAGGAGCCTTAAGAAGGTTGCCCTACCATCTGAAGGGAGAATAGCGTCTATAATAAGCATGGGTCAAAATAAAATACTCTATGAACAGACTTTGGTCTAAGAATTGTGTATGTCTTCCATTTGTCAAGTTCTAAGAATGTGCACCCAGGGCAGGTTCACATCCGTGATTTGAATATGGGAGCAGTTTTGGGTATCGCCCCTGCACCCCATCCTTAATCCTATGATTGGATGGTGGCAATTAGTTAAAAATAAAAATCTAAACATAAATAACAATTTCTTAAATCGGCAAGAAAAATGGGAACTAAGACTATTTAGCTGTTCGGGATATTTGTAAAGGTGAAACTGACAGAGGATGGGGACCTGGAACAGAGTGAAGGAGGCCACATGCTCACGACAGTCATTCTAAACACTGGAGCCAAAAAACAGGGCCCCACCCGGGGGACCTCATCAGTCCTTATTAAGAAAGGCGAGGGCCCATGTTTCCGATTTTCTTTTAATAGTTTTTTGAAAGAAAACAGCGACTATTAACACTGAAGGGAAAAGTACATTCTACCAGCCAGAGCTAGAAACACTTGCAATTGATTTTCTGTGTAAACTTCCTGAGTTGTTTGGTGAAATGGCCATGTTTTTAAACACATCCTACAGGTGCCCTGAGAGCCTAGTGCAGGTCATGGCCAGACACGTTTACAGGGCTTCGGGCCCTTCACCAGCGTCTCCAGCTAATGAATCTCTGAGAGCTGTGGTCAGAGGGTCCCTGGTGGGAAGGGTGAGGAGCTGTGGTCGGTCAGTTCATCCACATACCTGGAGTTCTGCCATGATTTTGTCTCCTTCTTCCTCTTCATCCTCATCCTTTGAGGAGCAGGTAGTGACTGGTGGTGGGGATGGGGTCCAGGCTGGAGCAGGAGCCTCGGGTGGGCATTTCGTGGCTCTAGCTTGCAGGCTTGGTCCAGCATCTTCACTGCTTACCTATGGAAGATTCAAACCACAGATATTGGACAAACACCCCAGGTCCTGGCAGAAAGCGGAGCGATCACAAGAACTCATGTTCCCTCACTGCCTAACAAACTGACTTCCTAGCTCTTCAAATAGAGTCGAAGGGCTATTCTGCCCACTTGCATTTAGTTTGGATTTTTGTTTATGCAAGCTGCCATTTTGGTGGATGGACTGAAGACTTATAATAAAATTATAACTCCTCACCATTCGGTACCTTTACGAAAGGACCTCGCATACTACCTCTCCTTGAAATTTGAATTTTACATTGAACATAAAAGACAAAACATGCCAAGTTCCCTGCAAGCTAAGGCTCATTAAACACCTTTCTGTATGGACTCCCACAACTGCGTTAGGTAATCTCAGTTCTCTTTGTCAGGTGGTCTTTCTTTAACTTCCCTCTGCTACCCTTATTTTCAATGTCACGATGACCTGCTGTGGAAGTAGCTTGTGATGTGCATTTCATGTAATTGCAGCTAAAAGTCAAGTAAGGATAACACTTGTGGTGCTGTGTCTAGTCCAGTGACACTGCTTGATGTCTTCTGATCTGGGGTACTTTCTGCCCATCTAGTTTATCTGATTCTCCGCTTCTCTTCTCTACCTCATTACTTTTATGTTCTAAGTGACAACAGAGATGACCTTGTCTAAGGGTATCATCTGAACCCAGACACCAGTTTACCAGGGCCTAACCCCTCTGACCTTGGTGGTGGTATGCTCCTTCCTGCCGGTGTAAACCACGTCGCCGGACCTGGTGGTGGTGAGCCCCGACCCTGGCAGGTAACTCCGTCTTGGGGGTGGAGGAGGAGGGGGTGGGGACTTGCTCCCCAGCTTGTCCGAGTCCTGTTCTGAGTTTGGAGAGTCTTCTGGAAAACAGTGTGCCACTGCTCAATCATGTCTTTTCAAGATGATGCCCAGAAGGTCCAGTGTACTTCTACTAACTTGATACATTCTCACATCAATGTTCTCCATTGTCTACATAGCACACAAATTGATGGTATAAACCCTGTAGCCCAACTGGCTTGAAATTCCACAAAGACCCCTCTCTGCCTTGGCTTTCTCAGCTGTTAAATGAGTATTATGACAAGATCCTTTCCACTAGGATGCCGTGAGGATGGAACGACTTAGTATACATAAAGCACAGTGCTAACTGGCTTGTGATAAATGTTATGCAAGTATTAGCTGTTATTATTGAACAAAAGGCTGAGTGCTACTTGGAGAGAGGAGAGCTCAGACCTGAAGGCCAATGCAGAGCCACTGCCTGACCTCCAGAGCCCTCCCCAGCCTAAACACTGCCTCCAGAGAAGGGATTCCTACGAGAGCCCAGTGTGGCCAGGAAGGGCACAAGGAACCTGGGAAGCAAATGGGAACAGAGGACAAAATCAGGAAAAAAGGGGGATTTCTTGGTCACGGTTATGGGCTTGGAAAAGGCTCTCCGCTAAGGAAGGAGGCACCGAACGCAGCAAAGGGAACTATACATCGGTGCTGACATCATAGAGCAGGCGACGCAGGTATCTGCTCGGCTCTCCCTGAAAAATGGTCCCCAAAAGGCATTTCTTAATCAAAACTCTCAGAGCCTCCTTGCCCTTTACCAACCTCCCAGCACTTCAGCCCTTTACAAACAACCAACGGCTCTCGCTAAAGTGGTAGAACCAGAAATTCAGGTCATCGGGACTTTTCCCCACTCTCTCTAGGGTCTAGAGTGTTTGTCTTTTCTGAGCAGAGACGAGTTCCCATTTAAAGTGACAGACATGGGGAATCACCACGGTGACAGGCCAGTGATCGTTCGGGACAGTGCCTGTCTCACACACAGGCGCTGGGTCACAGGGCTCTGGCATCACCAGGCCATGTGCTGGTTCCTGTGCCAGCAGCCACCTCCTCTGTGGGTCCCTCTAGGGGCTCTCTCCTTTCAGACTCCCTCTGTGACCAACTTATTCAATCTCCTCTTCTCACTCACCAGGCCTTGGCCTTGATCTGCTGAGCTGAATTCTGCAAAGAATCCAGTTTAGCAAGAATCCCCCATTCCTGATATCTGGCAAGTTCTGCACTCCCCACCCTGAGAGCTGTGTCCTCGCCTGCCTCTCGCAGGAATCCCCTACCCTGGACATGGCGTTCAGAGCTGAGTCAGTGCACCCCCTTTACAACCCCTTTTGAATAACGTCTTCCTTGATGGTTTTTAACATCTGTCTTTGTGAATACTTTTGCTGTAACACTGAGGCCACAATTCCCCAAATTTTTCATTAATTTTGGGGGGAGCTACCCATCCTTCCCATTTTCTAAGTCGTCAGACAATTCACACAAAAGGAAATATAAATGATTGAAAAAAACCCAAGCTTAGTATTTTACCTTATTAGTAGACAAAAATAAAAACAATAACATCCATGACAAATAAAAATAATAGCTATCAAAGTTTACAGATAATGGATGACACCCTTATACAGTTCTAGGGGTTTTTATTTCTAGTGACAAATAAAAATTATAGCTATCAAAGTTTACAGATAATGGATGATACCCTTATACATTTCTAGTGGTCTATACATTAGTGGCTCTTTCTGGCAAGAAACCAGGCCATGTGTTTAAAAAGACAAAAAAACAAAAAACAGTAAGAACATTTTAACTGAGTAAAACTACATTGGGGAGTAATTTTAAATATAATTTACGCAAACGTTTTTTTAAATCTGAAAGAATAAGAATCCCAAATAAGGTTAACAAAATGTATTGTTATTTTTGTTGTACAATCAGGTGAAGGACCAATTATAACTTATTTATCATTCTAAATTTTAATAATCTATTTTTTTGTTTTTTACTTTATTCTTATTGTTGACACTATGACAGATGTCCCATTATGCCCCTTCTGCCAACCTCCAACCAGTCTGTCCCCGCTCCCTCGGCCATCACCACACTGTTGTCTGTGTTCGTGGTTTACATATGTTCTTTGGCTAATCCCTTCACTTCTTCCACCCTCTTCCTCCTCCTCTCTGACAGCTCATTCTAAATTTGACTCTGTCAAAAATTAATAATGGGGAGAGCTGAATTAGGAAAGACAGAGATGCAACGAGACAGATCATTTTATCCATTAGAAATTCTCCATGTAACTTTGGGATGTGGGAGCAGAGCTGCCCTCCAGGGCCTTCCCTCCCCAGGCCCTGGTCCCTGACCCTCCAGGGCCCTTCCCTCCCCAGGCCCTGGTCCCTGACCCTCCAGGGCCCTTCCCTCCCCAGGCCCTGGTCCCTGACCCTCCAGGGCCCTTCCCTCCCCAGGCCCTGGTCCCTGACCCTCCAGGGCCCTTCCCTCCCCAGGCCCTGGTCCCTGACCCTCCAGGGCCCTTCCCTCCCCAGGCCCTGGTCCCTGACCCTCCAGGACCCTTCCCTCCCCAGGCCCTGGTACCTGACCCTCCAGGACCCTTCCCTCCCCAGGCCCTGGTGCCTGACCCTCCAGGACCCTTCCCTCCCCAGGCCCTGGTCCCTGACCCTCCAGGGGCCTAGACAGGCCCTGTGCAGCTGGCAGGTAGGGAAGGGGGTGAAAAACACCTCTTAGCACAGACTGAAGGGGAGAGTTTCAGTGAGTGGGGTCTTGGAGCAGCTTTGTGGAATGAAAACCTGCAGAGTGTTACAGCGGTTAAACTGTGGTTATAAATTGTATCCACTTTCACATTCCTTGACATTCAAGTCAAGATGGTGATTCCTTTTCAAATTACCTTTAGGTGTTGGATAAGACCTCACTGAGTGCAGCTCTAAGACATATTCATCCACAAATAAACAATGATGTCACATACTTTTTAAAAAATCCTCACCCGATGGTATGTTTTTATTGATTTTTGAGAGAGAGAGAAAGAGAGAGAGAGAGGGACAGAGCGGCGGGGGGGTGGGTGCATTGTGAGGGAGAAACATTGGTAGGTTGCCTCCTACATACGCCCTGACTGGGGATTGAACCCACAGCCTAGGTATGTGCCCAGACAGGAGTTAAACCCTCAGTCTTTTGGTGCACCTGGCCAGGGCATGATGTCATATCATTTTAATATCAGAATAAAGCACGAGGCTTGTAATTGGTTGGAGACTTAGTAGGCTGAGTTTTTTAAGTTATTTTATATTAATACTGACATATTGATGCTTAACTTCGATAGTTTAGTTGGTTAAGTATACAATTTAATGATTTTGATTTAAAAAATACAATTCTGACTTAGAATCTACTGTGCCTCGGGGAGCCCCGGCCGCCGGGTTTCTTTCCGCAGCACGGGGAATGCTCCGGGTTTACAGGCAGACTTCCCGGCTCGGGCTGTGAAGAGCCCAGGTTCCCAGGAAAGGCAGACGCTGGAACATCCAAGCCCTTCCTTCCTGGACCTGGTTCTGGTATCCTAACATAGAACAGCTTCCCTACTAAGGTTATAGTTACAGTTTGAAAGAAGTAGTGAGGCTCTAGGGACACCTGATGGATTTATTCTCCCAATTTTTCAACTTGATAAAATTCTTAAGAAGTGCGAGTCTGGCCAGCGCGGCTGAGTGGGTGGCCCCACAGGGACCCGAGGGCAGCCCGGTACTCGGCTCTGTCGGTGCCTCACCTGAAAGTTCCAGCTTGTCCCCAGGAGCGTCGCCCTTCGGCTGGGGGCCCGGGGCTGGGGGCATCTCCAGGTTTGGAATTGCCTTCATGATATTGGCCTGAGCTTCTTCCAGGAGCTTCTCAAACTCTTTCCCGTTGTAGTAGTCCAGATTTTGTCTTTTCTCTTCCCATTTCCTTTCTGCTTTCTGAAGGAGAACAGCAGGTGAAGATAGTTTTTAAAACCAGAGGGCAAAGCTAACGAATTGTTCAGAGATTTTCTGCTGGGTGGGAGGAGGTGTGCTATAGTTAAAGTGTCGCTAAAATAATGGTCGGGGGCCGTGCCGAGGGACACCGGGCACAGCAGGAAAAAAAACCTGACCCGTGCTGTCCGCAGCATCTTCCACAGCTGACTGGGCTGCTCGCAAGCTCGTGATACCCACTCACACAGGAGCAAGCTCAGAAATCAAACTCATCATTAAATGAGAACTGAGCACTCACCACACACTTCCACCAACAGGAAGTGCAAAGGGACACAGGTGTGTGTCTGAGGTAAGTATCCATGACCAAGGTTTTGTCTCTAACTTGAGTTTTCACCGTAGAGATGTTCCAGCAAATAGAAGCAAACACCAAACACTCGCTAGGAGCCAAGACTCCTAGGTCTTGGTTCCACTTCCGTCAAAGACTTGCTCAAAGGCCACTGGGCCACATTTTCTTACTCAGAAAATGGGGAGGCAGTTATTTAGATGACTGCAAGCTCCATCAAGTTCTATAATAGGGAGAAGTATATAAAATGCATTTTAAAGTATTTGTACATTTAAAAAATATGTTTTTGTTGATTTTTTAGAGAGGGAGGAAGGGAGAGAGAGACAGAAACATTGATATGAGAGAGAACATCGATTGGCTGCCTCCTGCACACCCTCCACTGGGGACTAAGCTTGAAACCCGGGCATGTGCCCTGACTGGGAATCAAACCAGGGCCTCTCAGTCCATGGGACAACGCTCAGTCCACTGAGCCACACTGGCCCAGCTATTTGTACACTTTTTAAAGGAACATCTGCCTATGATTCTGAGATGGCACATGAATCATTCCAGCAGGGCAGAGTGGAAATTTGCACCAGGATTAGTGAAACCCCATAATGTTGAAATTAGAAGTGAACACTGGAGCCCAGTGAGGGGAAGGGTTTGCCCAGTATTCACTCTGTATGAATACTGGCCACCACCATTGCCATCTTTCATTTTTCCTTCCTGGCATATATGATCACCTGGTACACACTTGTTCTCTGCCTCTCCCTGCAAGCAGGTACATTTCTCCAGGGCATGAACTTTGTCTCCGCTGCTCATCGCCTACCCCATAGCCTGTGAGGACCTGGTGCAGAGTGGGGCGCAGTGGTGTGTGTTGAGTGACTGAAGCTCACTCCCTTTGGCTGTGGCGTAGCTGTCAGAAAGGCCCAGGTCTCCTTACTGTGGCTCAGGGCATCGTCAGAGATGACTCATTACTTAAAACACACCTTAATGCCCTGGCCCATTTTGCTCAGTGGTTAGAGCATGGGCCCATGGACCGAAGGGTCTTGGGTTTAATTTCAGTCGAGGGCACATACTTGAGTTGCAGGTTTGATGCCTGGCTCCGGTCGGGGTCATTTGGGAGGCAATCAATTGATGTGTCTCTCTCACATCGATGTTTTTCTCTCTCCCTCCCTCCCTCCCTTCCATTCTCTCTAAAAATCAATGGAAAAATATCCTTGGGTGAGGAGTAACAACAACAACAACATAAAATAAAACTAAGAAAATAAAATACACCATAACAATGAGAACTGTGCCCAGGGGCTTCTCAAGAGATGTTTGTTACATAATTCTTGTCCCAGTGACATGCTTTAAATATGGGCATGTTTCAAGGGGCAAGTCCACTTTCTCCCAGGAGGACATGTCTTTGGTTCTCTCTCCCACCCAGCGGGCAGGCATGATGGTCCCCGGCAGCCAGTGCAGTCTGTAAGTGCTGACCGGGACTGGGGCGAGCCCGGAACCTCGGAGCAGAGAGCAGCTATCTAGTGTTCAGAGGAGCAGTGGCCATGACCGTGGCTGTGGCAGTTGTAAGAGGCCATCTCCTCAGGAAACCCAGGTTATCCCACTGACTTGCGAGAGAGGCAGGAATAGTTAGGGCAGGGGGACACAATGATGCGTCGAGAAAACATGGGAAAGAGGAAGGAGAGTGTTAAGAAAGCAAAACGTGCAATTTGAGCACTGATGCCGGCTCTTGATAAAAAGAATATTTAAAAACATAGCATGTTTTTTTTCTCTAGAGCGTGTGACCCGAAGGCCTAGCTTTCTTTTTTCATCTTGACCGCCTCTGCCTCTTACTCTGAGACCACGGTAATAACTTCCCACCCATCTCCCTTGATTCTCGCCCCAGCACCTCTGAGTTCTGTATATTGTGTCTGGATGAACTTTTCTGCAGATGCCGGGTTTATCACTGTCCAAGCGCAGAATTTCTCTGACACCTACACAATGAACTTCAGACATCCTGGGCTGGCTTCCACGCTCTCCGATCAGGTTCACCTGCCTTATCTCCTTTCTGTTTGAGTTAAACAGGTTTATCATGGTCCCAGCCTGTGCTCTGACACTCCTCGATCCTAGAATGCCCTCAGCACCCTCTTCTGCTTACCCAGATCCGACTTGTTTTTGAAGATCTCGGCAAGCCCTCCCAGGCCCACAGGCCGCAGCCTGCGGAGCCGGCTCCCAGCTCCGGAGCACCAGCTCCCACGTCATGTGATGTCATGTTGCGACTCGAAATCGGCAACGGCGGAGTCTTCATCACAGAAACTGGCAGATGCCACAACCAGGACTTTTCCCCCGGAGGGCTTGTCAAACTCTTACCATCACGCCACGGCCTCCAGGTTAGGTGTCTACCCTTCTCTGCAGTCTGATGACTTTTCTCTTAGTCTATCAAAATCCACTTGCAGTTTTAAAAATCTATCTTTCACACATGTATAATATATACACATTTTCATAAAAATGTAACTCTGGTACACCTATGTTTCATCTCTGCAGCCAGACTGTGAATCCTCTGAGGGAAGGGACCATGAGTTACACCCCTTTATGGGGTTAGGAAAAGCAGAAGCAGGACTGTACCTCGATAGACGCGGCCCTGTTCCTGGCACGCACGCTGTGGACTTCCTCCGCGAACAGGCTGTGCATGGTGGATCCGTTCACTGGCGTCTGCGGGCCCTGCACTGCCTGTGAGGACGGCAGAGCCGAAGCCACTTCCTGCGTGACCGCGGGAGGGCTGGTCGGGTGCTGGGCAGGGCTCAGTGGGGCGGAGGACAGCTGGGAGGGCTGGATGAGCACAGGCGAGCTCTGTGCGTGGTGGACGGTCAAGGGCACCACTTCCGACTTCACGTCTCGAGGGACCCCTGCGCCGTGGAGGGGCTGGCCCGAGGCGTGGGATGCCTCCTCCTGGTTCCTCAGGACTTCCGCGGCGGTGGCCTTTTCCATAGCAACGTACTGCGCGGCCTGGGCTGCGTCTGCACCTTTCAGGAGCCCATCGGTGACGTGTCTAGGAGAAGCATGCACAGCAGCGTTAACTATGCAGACGGGTGACTCTCACTTCATGATGCTGGTATACGTGAGTGTGGTGCCATCCCAAAGCCAGGCAAGACCTTGTTGCAAAACGAAAACATTCTAAAACTCAGAGTAGCCGCTTAGGGTTGAGGGTTTCCATGGCAACAACTCAACAGGGGTAAACTACCTCCTAGTTATCTCTGGCAGCTGCTTTGCCAGTCATTTCCGCAGAGGATGGCCTGCTCTGCTCTGTCCACTGGCACGCTGTGCCCTGGCCGACACCGGTCCATCACTGCTGTGGGTGCAGGTGGCAGTAGGAAGCGATCACATGACTCTAGGAGCACCGCCTAGACCTGCTCCCAGCCTGGAGAGCTCTCAGAGACGCAGTTCTAATCCCCAAAGCTTCTTAACCCTGTACTCAGTTCCTTTCCCTGCCAAACATCTTAGGAGGGCAGTTTATGTTCTAATTCCTTCTGCTCTTCCTGTAGCTCAGCTTGGTGCAGTCTGGCTTCCCCACCTGCCCTTGACCAAGCTCTCTGCAAGGTCCACAGTAACAGCAAATCAAACAGCAGGGTTCATCCTCATTGTCCTCTGCTTTGGGGGTCACCTGATGCCCTTTGTCCACCTCTACCCATGGTGTGGTGACCTTTGAGGTCAGACACACCTGTGTCTGAATATCAGCTCTACCACATTCTACTGATACAATGTCATGAACGTCCCCTTTTTTGAGTCTCAGATACCTTTCCATAGACTGTAATAACAATGAGGAGGAGGTCAGTTGATGTCTTCCTCAGGGGTGGTTGTTAGGATCAATGTTAAGTTATATGTGTAAGACAATGTTGCCCAGTCGGTGTGGCTCAGTGGGTTGAGCATCATCCCATAGACTGAGAAGTCCTTGTTCAATTCCTGGTCAGGGCACATGCCTGGGTTATGGGCTCAATCCCCAGTAGGGGGCATGCAGGAGGCAGCTGATGGATGCTTCTCTCTCACATCCATGTTTCTATCTCTCTCTCCCTTCCTCTCTCTAAAAAATCAATGAAAACATAAGAAAAAAAAGACAATGTGAAACATGATGCCTGACCTATAACTTTTTTCTTTATTGATTTTAGAGAGAGAGAAAGTGAGAGGCAGAGAGAGAAAGAAACATCGATGAGAGAGCACATAGATTGGCCACCTCCTGCGTGCCCCCCACTGGGGATCGGGCCCACACCTGGGCATGAGCCCTGACTGGGAATCCACCTGGCGTCCTCTTGGTGCATGGGTCAACGCTCAGCCACTGAGCCACACCAGCCGAACTTGACTTATAATTTTTAATTAGTTTCTCTTCCCTTCTTATTAAAGTACTCTCTCTTCTTGATTTGGAAAAAACTGTATTTTATGAATCTCTTCTGCTACTCACTTCTCTGTTCCTTTTGCTGTTTACTTTCCCTACCTGGTCTCTTCAGGCCCCGGGATGCCCAAGGATCTCTTCTCTCCTTTCCTTCTCATTCTGCCACAGCCATCTCTTCTCTTTTAATAATCATCTTTATGGAAACAACTTTCGGTTCTAAATCTCTCCTCCCCACCCCTCCCCTCCCCGTGGGGCAGGCACACTCCCTGTCTCTACCTCTTGAACTTCAGGCCACCTCTCTAAGTGCCTAGTGGGCAGTTGTGTTTGGTTATCCTTCTAGCAACTCAAATTCAACACACATCAAAACATTTCAGTGTCCTTCCAAGCTGCTAAGTCGCTCTGCCTGTGGCTGGCACCTGCCCAAGCTTCTCTGCCGTGGCGTCAGGACGTGTGTGTGTCCCTGGGAGCCATGCATTCCTGTCTTCTCCCCTGTGTCTCCACAGTGCCCAATGCAGTGCATTACACACAACAGATACCAACACAAATTAGTAGTGTAAATACAGGCTTGTGATGGGCAGCCAGATGGCAGCTAAAATTTCTTTTTCTTTTAAAAGTTACTTACCTGGGTTTGTCATTCTGACCACTGAGCATTTATGGGACAAAAAGTCCTATAACATTCAAAACACACAATTATGCTTTTTAAAGAACTTGATTCCCTGGAGATAAGACAAACATTGAGCTTCATCACTCTGTGCTGGCTCTAAAAATGTCTCTTAATTGTTTTTCAGGGATGAGAAGGAAGAATGGGGCCGACGTGTCTGCCAGCCTGCTATCTATTCCCACTTCACAAGGGTGGTTTGTTCGAGGCTTTGTGGATGGGTTACCATATTTAGGTAAGAGCCTAATGAAGAATTCTTTTACCAGATTTTTATCCCACTAGAAGAAAAAGTTCACCCTGGCAATTTAAAATGAGTGAACCTATGAGAAAATGTAACTCCGGCACAATTCTTCCTGCACTCAGTCAGATGGGGTCTCAGCAGAGGCGGCCACTGTGTGAGCTCAGGGAACGGATGCCGGTGATGATAAGGCTGCTGATCATGTTTGCATCTCAAAGGAGGCTCTCTCCTGAGGTCATGATACTAGAAACAGCTCACTTGTTCCTATGGCTAATCATACATCTGAAAGTCAACTGGACATTTAATATATTTCTCTTATAAATCTGATCAAATGATGACAGCTGTGATTAAAATGCTTCCAAGAAGCTGTCTTATATGTTACTTCTGTTTGTGACCTGCTCTCAGATCTGGTCTAAGATCTGAAGGGTGATGTCGCTGCAATTTCTCAGTTCTATTAAAAATCTGAAAACTCAGGGCTGCCATGGTTGGAAAATAGTTTACTTTTGGTGGTTGTGTCTATTTCCCATGAGAGAGGATGTTTTATAAGGGCAGGGTTCCTATTTGTCTTTATTATCATGTTCTTAATAGCCAACACTAGGACTGGAACAGGCAAAATGTCCAAATATTATTGACTGTCTGGTCTTGAGATCAGAACTAACTCTGATTTCTGGAGTCAAACTATCAAGTCATTGCCGCCCCACCTCTGACCTCAGCAAACGTCCTCAAAGCTCAGACTCTGCAACAGGAAGAAGAATGCCTGCCATATAGGGTTTTAAATTAGGACGGAGTGAGTTAATACTTATAAAGGACTCAGCTCAGAGCCCGACACATAGGAAGTGCTCACAGATATAAGCTATTGTTATGACTGTGTTGAGAAGAAAGAGCTCTAACTGTCACCCAAAGACAGAGTACAGAATGGTATGTGAGATGTCCTTTATAAAGGGACTTCTGGACACACAGATCCCGCATGCGTGTCAGCACTTTCTGTGTGGGTAGAGAGTTCAAGAGTTTTCAATGAAAGTCACAAAGGATTCAGTGATTTAGTCTTTCTTCCGCTGTGAACCTCTTTTACGGGCAGGTAGGGGTGACTGGTGGTGCCACTCCAGGGAGCTTGTTTCTCTGTTCCAGGTAAGATCAACCACCTTTCAGATACTCTTTCAGTAGGTGCCTCAAGAAAGATTTTATTTCTACCCATTTTCTTTTGACTGAAGTCATGTATGCTCCTGAAATAAAGGAGGCTAATAATATATTTTGATCAATTCTTCAATTTACAAATGTTATTCAAAGGAACCACCTTCAAACGATCTGAAAACGTGTAGTGTGTTTACTAGTACGTTGTAAGCCCCAGCATGTGCTGAATGCAGCAAGTCTGCGCTGAGAATCAGGACCTCAGACCGTAGGTACAATAGATGATCTGGGAGGGACGGAACCATGGCTCCTCCTCAGAACAAGGGTAATAAGATGTGATAAGTCGCAGCAATGGACACAGGTCCCAGGAGCACGGAGGAAGCCCGGGAGTCCAAAACATCGACCCCACCCTTCCCAGCACCCCGCCTCCACTCTGCACGCGCACAGGAAGCTGGTCACCTGCGCAGCATGGTCAGGGTGTCGGTCATGCTCCGCACTCTCTGCAGGAGACTGTCCAGCCTGTGCGGCTCCTCCTTCAGAAACCGCACCGCCTCCACCTCTATGCGCAGGATGGCTCGCATCTTGTTTTGTAACGTAGGAAATTCTCCTGTGGCCAAGAGCAGGGGGTGAGTTGGAGGAGAAGAAATCCGCACAGCAAGCCCCCACCCCCACCCGCCACCGCTTGTTCACACATCAGCGGGAGGCAGAAGCGTGTCCGATACAGATGGGTTCAAAATGGCCATGGGCAAGGGCAGAGCGCCTCTAGGTCCATTTCCTGTCTGTGTGCTTGGGATAAAGTCAGCTCTCCCTTAGGGTTCTCTGTAGTGCACAGGTGCCCAGAGCATTGTAAAAGCCCAGTGAGGAGAAACTTCTATCATTTAGTCCTAAATCCTACAGCACCCACTATCATATACGCTTCAAGAAGGCAGGGACGTTTGCCTCTTTTGTGCTGTGCTGGATCCCAAGTGCCCAGAGCAGTGGCTGACGCAGGCGGGGACTGGATGAATACTGCCGTGAGTAAATGAATGCGTGAATGAGGCCCTCACCGTTTGACAGACTTAGTAACCCTGGGAAACACGATAGACTTCTCCCTACAAGGAGGAAGCTCACCTTTCAGGGAAGCCACAGCTTCTCCCACTTGTCGCAGGAGGAAAGCTCCATCTTCCACATCCTTTAGAGTAACCACTCGGCTGGCCGATGCGGAGTCCTTCTTCAAGTCCTCAACGAGGTCTTCCAGCTCACTGGGGGAGCGAGCAGACCAGAGATGGGCGTGAACACTGCGGTCCTCAAGGACAGGTGCAGCAGCCCAGGGCTCACCGGTGCCTCCCGCTGCGCACTGTGTCCCAGCCCACCTGGCCTTCCGCCTAGATGGTGGGAGCACCTTTTGGAGCAGTAGCTTAGTTTGCCTAAAAATATTCTGCTGAAGAGTCAAGCAGGTGGACGCAAGTTTACCCAGGGCCTGTTTGTGGAGTGGCCCAGGGTGGCCACAGGGAAGATGGTAGCTGGCTGACAAAGGACCCACTTTTCACTTTCAATGGTGCTGATGCCAACGAAGGGAGGGATGTGTGCATTTTGTGACACGACAGAGGAGGGAGAGAGAGAGAAAGAGGGAGGGAGAGGGAGAGAGAATACGGTAGTGGAGTAAAATGGGGTTCCCCAGATCAGGCTTCTCGACCTTGGCACTTGACCTTTTGAACCAGAGAGAACAAATGATCACAGATCTGATTACACATACACACACACACACCCCCACACCACTTTCGGTACTGCCAGCTCCAAATAATTAGGTTAAGGTCTTTCACTTCAACAAACAAACAAACAAACAAACAAACAAACAAACAAACAAACAAACATCCTGTTACTTGGCAACATTAATAACCATATCCTAAACACACATTGGTATCATTTCAGTTTGCCTGTAAATCTAACTGAAAAGCCTCTCTTTAAAGAAACTGGGAAGAAACTTGGAGAGATGAAGAGCCACTAGGTGGCAGTAAGTGAACAGCGATTCCAATGCCGGAGTCCTGAGTCTGGGGAGCAGGCAGGTGCCGGATAAATAAGACAGTATCTGCACAGGGATGGCTCGCTAAGACCCTTCACACCAGGTGGGCAAGAGGATGAAGTTATGGATGGCATGACAGCTGCGAGAGAGATTCAGGCAGGATGTCGCATATGTTCAACAAGGACCCTGGGGCAAACAACAAATTCACCCACCCTGAGAAGTGGGGTGACGCTTTTGCTTTGTCTTTCGTTCTGTTATGGAAAATGGACCCAAATTGCCTATGATCCCTTAAGATAAAATGATGCAACTTCAGGACTGAAATGCAAAGCCGTCTTCTCACTGTCCACACTTACAAACCGTGGACAGACCCAGTTTCTGTGAGCCAGCTGGAATGTTCGCACAGCTCCTACATCTCCGAGGCAGACAGAATGTGTGCCATCTCTCCAAGAGTTCTACACACGTGTGGAAAAGTCCTTTTCCACTCCAAAGTCAAATAGATTGTTTTAATTATTTTAGAAGGACTGTCCAGCCTTTCTAAGCTTTGATGGAAGAGCTAAGACCCAAATGTTATCATGGTTCCATTAACAATCCTCCAGTCAGCCAGGTTGCAATTAATACTCTAAGGAGTTGTGATCTGACCCAGGTCAGTCAGCCTAAGATTCTATTTGAATCTCTTTCATACAATGTGACTCTGGGATTTCATAACCTTGCACACAGCAGACCCTTAAATGTCACAGTTTTCCTTGTGTTGATTATGGAACATATGCAAATGTGTACTGGTATTATTGTATACAACAATGTCACTTCTCTTCATATACTTCTATTCCAGATAAAACAGTCAGAAAAAAATTGTTCATTCAAAATGTAAAAAGGGACCATGGAGCTAAAATAAATGCTGAAAATAAGTTTGTAACATTATAGTAAGCAACGTGACTTTTGAGTTGTGAACTCTGCTCAAAAGAATGTCAGGTGTTCACAAATGCTGTGGTTCACAGGCAAATCCATTCTGTTGAAGCTGCTTTTCATTCTACCTTGGTGAAAAGAAGCATTAATTTGTTGAAATATATTTCATTTGACTGGTAATAGAAGCCCAGTGATTATTTCCATGTCAAAACTCACCAAAGAGAAATTCTCTTGATCCAATTTCTCTCCATAGTTCTAGACCCCAATCTTATTTTTCTGCTATCTGAATGGCTCACCAGCAACTTACCCTAACATGATCCTCAAGGTAACTTATTTGTGTGTGTGTGTGTGTGTGTGTGTGTGAGAGAGAGAGAGAGAGAAAGAGAGAGAGAGAGAGAGAGAAGAGCTGGGGAGGAGGAGGGTCAGGGAGAGGAGGAGAGAGGGAGGGGCAAGGAAGGGGAGGGGAGATGTAATTGTTGTCCCAACGCTCCAGGGTTGGAATGTCCAGCTGTCTTTTGTAACCCGCTCTCACTCACCACTCTGACCCATTCAGTCCACTCTTTGCATTTGATTTATCTTCTCATTCCTATTTCTCCTGCCTGGTTCAGGTCTTACTGACTTCCGTCTGGACTGTTACAGTCAGTCCCGTACGATTTCTTAGATGCCAATCTTTCTCCCCCGTCCAATCTGCACAAGATGGCCGGAGGGATCTGTCTGAAAGGCAGCTCTTGATCTGTCACTTCCTTGATCATCAAGCCAGGCAGACATCTCAAATGTGGAGATGGCTTTAAAATCTGCCCTATATCTTTGTGAAATGCACATTTCTAAACTCCATCCAGAGAAACTCTGAATCTGGGTTGGACCCAGGGATTTTGGTGAAAAGCCAGAAATCCAGTTACGTGATCTCCCAGTCTCGGTGAACACAGAACAAACAGGCATCAAGCAGGGTGCCGGGCGCGAGCTTGGGCTAAGATACGGGCAGGCACCATGCTAACGGGAATAGCACAACTCAGACAGAGACACATTCGTACCTTGCACCCACCCTACAACCTGGACTATTCCAGTTTTCCAACGATGTCCTGTGCCTTCTTGGTCCCAAGGTCCGCTTGTTGGTTCCAGGGTTCCTCTACCTGGGAGGTCCCCCCATCTAGCCTCCACTGGTGGACCATTTCAGTTCAGTTTAATGAACCTTTGTGAGGCCCTACTATGCACAAGGTCTGTGCTTGGCCTGGGGGCATATGAAGAATACCTGATTTCCGGTCAAGTCTCTGGTTCCAGGGCTCGACACAATCTCTCCTTTGTGTGGGTTAACTTGGCACCTGCGAACCACCTGCTCTGTGCCACATGCATACGCCCATGTTCTACTGTGCCAGGCTGAGGTCTCCATGCCCTGTGCACGACTTGCTCGTGTGTGGCCGTCCCACAAAGCCATGGGCAAAGTCCTCTCATGGTCATTCCACTGCCCCTCATCTCATTCCTGCGCGGGCCTACTATTCTCAGGATAATACTGACATTAAAGATGCCTTATTTTCAAGAAGCAAGAGTTATCCCCGCTAACCAATAAATATCCAAATTTTAAAAGGAGGAAATTTATGTTTTCATTATTTATTTGGAAAATGTATAAAATATTGTTAAAAGGCTATATAAAATAGGCTATGTATTTTATTTATTTTTTAATCTTCACCTGAGAATATTTTTTTTAGATAGAGTGGAAGGGAGGGGGGAGAAAATGAGAGAGAGAAAGAGAGAGAGAGAGAGAGAGAGAGAGAGAGAGAGAGAGAGAGAGAGAGAGGAGATGTTGGTTGCCTCCTCCACGACCCCGGCTGGCCTGGGACTTGAAGCTGCAACTCTCTAGTCCAGGGGCTGACACTCTGACCGCTGAGCCAAACTGGCCAGGGTTAAAAGGCTATCTATTTTAAAAGAAGTTTCGAGAAAAGTCCTGAGACCTAGTTTTAAACAATCTGGCAATCACAAAAACATTTAAGACAAATAATAGCCTTATTGCCTCATGATGGAGGTGTCACTGTCTATAAACGCATGAACTAAATAAAATACTTTGAGATGGCGATGAACAGTGGTCAAATTTAATTTTTTCAGACAGTAACTGAAATTGTTTTTTTCCCTCTAGACTGCTATTGAGAAGGACACTCTAATTTTCATCAGGCCCATTGGATGCATCAGAGGCGAGATAAGCAACAGCTCAAATATCAAATAGGAGACAGACACAGTGCCGCCCATCAGGGAGGCTCCGGGAATTCTGGTCATGAAGAGAATCTGGAAGTTCCACCCTTACAATTCCAAGGTTCCAGCTTTCCAAGAAACAAGAGAATTACCAAACACTAGAAGAACGGCAAACATTACTATTCATTATACTAAAAGGTGAAATAGTTCTGTGATCAATCTCTGCTGCATAACAAAACATACATTAACATAAAAGATGTGCTTTGCCCTCGTAAGCGGAGAGTAATAAAACCCTGCTCATTTCGATGGCAGGACTTGATGGATGCTTTCAATAAGAGCCTCACAGAAGACTGGGCATGTTCAGGAGGCATCTCTCATTCTGGGATCAGACATACTTTACAGTTAAATTCCTCTTTTGTGATTTTAACTACAGTTGAATAATAGGGAGATAATTTTAGTGCTGTGTTGTTTTGACTATTTGTTTTTATTTATTGGGATTAAATGCGGACTCCCCATTAATCATTGGGTTTCGCCATTTGCTCCTTTTAATTCTGTGTTGCTGAGCCCTACGAAAGAGGGTGCTGCTCCCACTTTTAAAGATGCCAGCTTGGCCCTGGCCGGTTTGGCTCAGCAGTTACAGCATCAGCCTGCGGACCAGAGAGACCAAGGTTCGGTTCCTGCTAAGGGCACGTACCTCGGCTGCAGTTTGTCCCCGGCCCCAGTTGGGGTTGTGTGGGTGGCAACCAATCAATGTGTCTCTCTCACATCGATGTTTCTCTCACTCTCCCTCCTCTCTCCCTACCGCTCTATCTGAAGACAAATGCAAAAATGTCCTCGGATGAGGATTAAAAAAAAAAAAAAAAGTAAAATAAAGACACCAGCTCAGTTACCTGCGGATCGTTGGATTTCCTGGTCCTGGACAGAGGGGCGCTAAGTGTCCATGGATACCCAGAACCAGCAGAACTCTAACTTGTACATAGTAGGTGCTCAATAAAGGCAGAGGGAGAGCACACCATCTAGGAAGGGCTTCCTCCCTGGCAAAGCCAGGTTTCCCTTTCTGGTTAAACAGCTACACATGCAACAAGTGCCTGGCACTCACCACAACTTCTTGACGATCTTCTCCTCTTCGTGCAGGTATTTTTGTCTCTCCTGCTCCACCAGGACGCGCTGCCGTTGCACGGGATCCTCTAGTCTCTTCATCATTTCAGTCACTTTGCCACTTATTTCCAGCTCGGCCTTCTTCATCATTGCCCTCAGCAGCTCCTGGTTCTGCAGCTGTTGAACAAAAGAAATCAACCTCAATTGCCTCTGCCGGCTTGACACTGCGGTGAGAGCCTGGCAGGCTGCAGGGGCGGGTTAGGATAAACAGCTCGCAGCTGAATCTCTCTTTTTTTATTCCAACAAAAAGGGGAAAGACCAAAGACTATATATATTATTGCTTCTTCAGCCAACATCTAAATTTTAGCAGCCAGTGGACAGCCAGACTTTCATTTCTGAGTCTGCAAAAAATAAGATCCTTTCTTTACTCTGGCCAATGCATCATGGACAACGGACACAAACCCTCATTGACATGTTTTTACAGGGAGCAGCCAAGAGCACCAGGTTCGGAGCCAAGCAGATTTTGGATCAAACCCTAACCCTTTTCCTCGGCTACTGTGAGACTCTGGCATGTTACGTGGCCTGTCTTGGTCTCCATTTCCTTATCTCTGAGGACGAGAATTCACTTCCCTTGGCAGGGCTAGTCTGAGGATTAAATGAGATACTACTTAGTATATAGAACAGGCACTGAACAAATATTGATTTGGCTATGGACTATTTCAGGATATCTGTTAAAAGAGAATTTGTGTGACTCTTTTTTTATATGGGTTCATGTACCAAACGCCAGGTAATTGCAGACAGTTAAGACGTGGTGTGATGTGATGGTGGCAATAATTACGACTCCAGATCAACCCCAGGCTCTTGGCAATTCACTGATTTCCCTGGATTATGCACAGGCTGCTTAGATGCATAAGACAATTTCCATATTGTCTTGTTCTCTTGTCTTAAAAATAATTTTTCTTTATTGGTTTTAGAGAGAAGAAGGGAGAGGGAGAGAGATAGAACCATCGATGAGAGAGAACATTGTCTGGCCGCCTCCTGCATGCCCCCCACTGGGGACGGGCCCACAATTTGGGCATGTGCCCTGACTGGGAATCGAACTGGTGACCTGTTTCTTGGTGCCTGGGTTGATGCTCAACCATTAAGCCACACCAGCCGGGCTCCATATACTTTCTAGAGCACTGTTTCTAACCACTGAGTATAGAATGTGTGAGTTTGCATCCAGGCTTCACAAGAATCTAGTTAAACACTTGAGTCCTATTTCTAAGAAGGTGCTAAGTGTTCCCCCGGGCAGGACAATTTTCTGACAGCTCATATGGCAGTGAATTCATTCAACCAAGCCTCAAAAACAGTAATTATTGTATACCTAACGTCACTGAGCTGTTACCTCTGTTTCCTGGTCTTGTGGACTGTGTACAACACTGAATGTCACCTCCCAGGAGACGGTGTCTTTGTCAACTGTCTATTGTCGGCAAACTGAAGGAAATGCCATCTCACCATGTTACCACCTGCTTGAAACCTCACCCTGGCTTCCATCTTCCCTGAATAAAGATGAAACATTTCCACACGAGCCACGAGCAGAGCCCCCGTCACCTTCCAGCATCAGCATAGCACCGAGGTCCAGTGGCCATCCAGAGAGACTGCGTGGGTTCAGTGTCTAGTTTTACACTCAGTAGCAATGTGACCACAGTCAATTACAATCTCTGTGTCCACCATGAAAAGGCGTGGTAATAGTGTATAACTCAAAGGCGGGCAATGTCAATCCAGAGAGGCAAACAGTGCAGACAGCAGTGCCTGGCACAGCCCTGGCCCTCTGCTACCAGCTACTGTTATCAGGGAGCATAACCCTGGGGCAGGGCCTGTGGTTTTTTTCTGGGAGGGAACCAGATAAAAATGTGCCACTCTTGGGTTACCTCCTCTATATGACTCATGATCATGCTCTCCTACTGCTTTGGCTAATAACGTATTTTTATTGTGGTCTTAGAAACAGTCCATCAGTATATTGCTGGGAGTCACCACACTTGGAGATGATGCACAGACGCCGACTTCCTCCCAGGCTTGCTGCAGCTACAGCTCTGCCCGCGAGGCGCAGGGTGGGAAGGCCCTTTCCAGTGTCTGCCAGCCTCCTCACACCACATGCGGCTGGCACGCCCTCTGCTCCAGCCACATGAAACTCCTTTCAGCTCTTCTGATTGGACAAGTTCCTTTCTGCCACAGGGACTTTGTACCTGCTATTCCCTCTACCTGGTTAATTTCTGCTCCTCACAGAGTCTCCAGGATACAGTGCATGGCACAGACCAGGCATTCAATAAATATTGGTTGAATGCATGAATTGAGTTAAGCAGCAATGCTGGAAATAACGGCCAACAGAGATATAAAAACTCTTTCCTAGATGAGAGAAATACAGGGTGACCTATGGGCTCCAAGATGGTTTGGGCTCATCTCTAATGCCTTGCCTTGCTCTGACTGCAGTGGTTGTTAAATACACACAGCAACACAACCCACTATCAAAATGGTATATACAGAGCTATTTCCACTGGGTCTGAGGAAGAAATGGTAATGGATATGGAAAGGGACAAATAAGTAGATGATTAATTGTGTCTAAAAGTAACTAATGCCTGGGTTCACCCCCTGAGAGGTTCTGCTCTGAGGTGTAGCCTCGGCAATGAGAACTTTTAAACTCTGATGTGGGTGTGCCACGGAGGGTGAGCACTATGGTCTTCCAAAAGGGCCCTTGACTGGATGATGATGTCACTGTGCCATGCGCTGTGTGACGCAGTCCTCTGCACCTCTTGCATACATCTCACAGACGAGCTCCAATAGTTATGGTCCAGTGAGCAGTGGAGAGTATCAGTGGCTATCAACCTGGAGATTATTTATTTATTTTTTAAAGTGTTTTATTGATTGATTGATTGATTAATTGATGATTGATTGATTTTATCCTCACCCGAGGACATTTTTGCATTTATCCTCAGATAGAGCGAGGGAGAGAGGGAAGAAAAGAGAAAGAGAAACATCGATGTGAGAGAAACACATCGAGTGGCTGCCACCCACACGACCCCAACCGGGGCCAGGGACAAACTGCAACCGAGGTACGTGCCCTTAGTGGGAACCGAACCTGGGACTCTCCGGTCCATGGGCCAAAGCTCCAATCGCTGAGCCAAACCTGCCAGGGTGAAATTATTGAAAGACTATTTCAACTTTTAAAAGCTGAGATTTGAACGCCCGAAAAAGTGAAGCCCTGAGAGGTTAAACGACTTATTTGGAGTCACTTGGGCAGCTGCAGGGCGGAATCAGGCTGAGAACTGGGTCTTTTGAACTCCAGCCGGTCATCTTGCGACATCAGAGTGAGGCAGGGCCGGCAGCGCCGCGGGGTGCGTCTGTTTCATTCCCAGGCACAAGCGCGGTTTCTGGCCCACAGTGGGTATCCAATGCATATTTGCTGTATGAATAACTCTCAAAATAATGTTTCTGAGAAGCCCGCAGACATATCAGAACACAAATGCATATAATATTCAACTGGTAACATGGTCAGATCATATTCAAATGATTCCACTCAAAGAAGAGGGGAGGGAGAGACTCGCCTGGAGTTCCAGGCTCATGACCCTCCTTCCCAGAAGAGGCGCTGCCTGGAGCCAGCTGGAGGGACTAACTGGAATTTTCAGTAGCACACTGGCTGGCACATGGCCAACAATGAGTTAATCATGAGGGAGCAAACATGTGCACAGGTTCTCTGTCCACTCTGCTCTAGTCCTGTCTCACCCCACCCCACCCAGCCTGGCAGTCTAGCCATTGCCCCCAGGGCTGCACCCAGCAGGGTGTGAAAAGGTGCTGAAGGCAGCCTGTGGATCTTAAATGCTTCAAATAAATTAGTCATCAGCACTTCAAGTCATTGTTTATTTTGGCTTCGCGTATCTACCTTTTAATGAATTTTAAAATACTTGTTTAAGGTGTAGTTTACAAACAGTGAAATACAGATGCTCCTCAACTTACAGATGGAGTTAGGTCCCCGTAAACCCATCACAAGTTGAATATGCCATAAGTTGAAAATGCATTTAATACACCTAGACTACTGAACATCATAGCCTACTTTAAAGGTGCTCAGAACACTTACATTGGCCTATAGTTGGACAAACTCATGTAACACAATGATTATGCTGTAGATTATCAGTGGTTTACACTGGTGATTGTGTGGCTCATGGAAGCTGCCCAGCATCACGAGGGATGATCAGACTGCATATCACTAGCCCAGAAAAGATCAAAAGTCAAAATTTGAAGTACAGTTTCAACTGAATGTGTATTGCTTTCACACCATGGTAAAGTTGAGAAATTGTAAGTTGAACCATCCTCCATGGGGGGACCATCTGTATAGCCATTTTAAGTGCACAGGTCAATGAGTTTTGACAAATGTGTACGCCAAAGTAACCACCACTGAAAAGAGAGAAGATTTTTTCATCACCCTATCAAATTCCTTTATAACTCTTTGCAATCAATTCCTCAACCCCCAGCCCAAGAAAAACTACCATTCTGCTTTCTGTCCCCATGGATGTAGTTCTTCTTGTTCTAGAATGTCACATAAATAGAATGACACAATATGTAATCTACTGTTTGGCTTCTTTCCTTAAGTTTTTGAGATCCAGCCATGTTTTAGTAGTTCATTCTTGTTAACGTGGAATGGCATTTCATGGTATGTATAAATCCACTGTATGATCTTGTGCACTGTGCATACTATTTATATTTTTACTTACTGACTTGATTCTGGTGATTTTACCAAAACTCGCCTTTTGGGTAGCATTTTAAAAAGAGATTCTATTTGATTTTATATGTGTATAATCAAGTCCCTTGTGAGTAAAGCCAATTATCCTTTTTACTTTCTTATCTGTATGCCTTTTCCTTTTTATTCTAGCCTTACTGTATGTACTGTATGTGCTAGGATCTTCAATACAGTGGTCAACAGAAGAGAGAACAGTTTCCTTGGCCTTGTTATTGATCTGATGGGGAATGTGTTTAGTTTTTTACCATTAGCTATAGGTTCCATAGTTCTTGCAGACATCCTCTGTTGGGTTAAGGAAGTTTCCGTCTCATTCTTGAGCCATGAGTGTTTTATCATCAGTGTTGAATTTTGTCTTATTTTTTGTGCATTTATTGAAATATGATTTTTCTCCTTTATTCTGTTA